CGGACAGGGGGGTTGGGTCAAACAAACCCGGGTTGGAACCAGACTGGAGTGGTATTGGGTGTATTCAGCATTTTATGGTTTGGATTTTATCTCTCTGAACAGTCTTAGATGTTTAATTGAAGGTTGGAGAATGATTTTTTGCTGGATAAAGGACATTATAAATATTTCATACAATCAAAAACATAGATTCAATATGCATACCACTCTCATATAGTCTACATAAGAATCGTTGTACATACTGTAGTACACTCTGAGATAAAATTTGCTCTAAGTTAACGCATCAAATTTTCAACTGTCCCACACCATGTCAGACCTTTTGGACATCAGGTTATAAGTGCCAGGAAGTTTATACTGCCAGCCATCTGGTTTGTGCACTCCTCGAATTAGTCATGCTATATAGGATAAAGTGCAGATAGATTTTTTTCTTTCTTACATGCAAATATAGATGCAGTAGTAGGAAATCTTAATTTTCCTTTTCAAAATTTTTCTGAAACAACATTTTTACCACAAGAGATTAGTTGGTTACTGTAAAGTTAACAAGCAAGTGTTGTAAAGTAAACAAGTTCATTCATGATTTGCATAACAAAAGGATCAGTTGAATTTTAGCCAGTTTCTCTCAGTTGTTATATACCACACTTCAAGGTTACTTTCTTTCCATCTATGAATCACTATAAAATAACTTCCTAACTTCTTTGTTGATCTACAAAAATATGTCATGCCTGGTAAGGTGACTGTGCAGATAATTTGCAACGTACTGTCTGTAAAATATATTATTTTTGTTCCTTTTTATCTAGTTGCCCTATAACTATAACTAGTATAAGCTCCTTGGTTCAACTGAATATGGAGTCAACTGCATACGGGTTGTTTTGCGAATGCTCTTGTAACTTGTAAAAGAATAAAAACTGTGTTTGATTTTCTTTTCAGTCATTTAGATGATATTGAAGTGCGACTGTGAGTGTGAATCTGAGTGTATTAAACCAACAACGAATCACACTCACTCCTGTCCATTGTTTTGCCCGCTTTGATGAAAACTACAAATCAGGTCTCGAAATACTCAGGGTGCACCAAAAATTGGAGCTGTACACCAAATCTTTTTCTGATCATGACTGCAGCCAAGGACATTATACACATATAATGTCCTTGCTGCAGCCAACTATTCTAGTAGCCCCATGTTGAAGAAGAAACCGATAGTGATTCTTCAAAGTCAGAAGAAACTGCCAAGAAACCAAGGCTTTTTGTGTGAAGCTGTGGGAATACAAATCGTGGCATACATGTATATATTTTGGCAAAAAGGATTGGCCTGGGGAGTCAGTCTGCAGAAGGTTATTTCTTTCTGGATACAATCCAGTTAACCTCCGAAGTCAAACCCGAAGGTGGCCAAACTAACCAGGCAAATATTCTCGTAAATAGTCTGGTACTAGTGGTAGAGACTAATTACTTTGGTCTAACACCATTTTAATCTTTTACAGACCATCTAAAATTGAACTACTTTGCTAGATAATTATTTTGCATTTGTTAAAAAAAACTTTGATTTACAAGTACTTTTCAGTATTTTTAGGTTCTTTTCCTATCCAAGGGTTCTAGTCACTTGTACATGTACTAGACTTTTGGTGTACCAGGATTTCAGTTTTCACACAACCAGCTACAGTAACTCATTGAAATGCTAATTACTGGCTCCATGTCCTAATGAGTTTCTATTGTTTGGTCAGACATTGTTGTGTTATCAGATTATGCTAAATTATCTCAGGCCAAAGTCACTTCAGTGCAAAATAAAATTCTAGGGTAAAAGTTCAGGACAGTCAGGTTTATACAAAGTCATTTGATTTGCCGAAAAGAATTATAAGTCGTGATTTAATTTTTAAAGTACAGTAAACAATTGTTCTTTACAACACTGAAGGACTGAAGGTGTGGGCTAAGGCTAGTTGGAATTATTTTCAAAACCAATACTCTGATGCAGTTGAGCAAAACAAGGAGGTTAGAAATAGATTTTTTTAAGTTAACCAGCTTCTTGTTTAAAACAAAACCTTTCCTTTTCAGTCCATTTAGGCACCTTTCAAGTCAAACCCAATACCAATGGACCTGGAATCCTCAGTTTTAACACAACACACTGCTTGAACAAACTCCCTTCAGGTTCCCATTGTTTTCCCCACCAAACCTACACCAAACCAGCTACTCTCTAGAGTAGGTTCTTCATAGGTTAACTGTTGAATTTCTTCTTGCACTCAGAGCATCATAAAAATATCACATACTTCCTTCTTTCATAAAAAGACAATGCTATAAAACTGCACATTGATTGTCACACAACAAGAAAATGTCATGAATTTCTACCAAGTCATATTTTTTCATCCGTGACAGTCAGGGTTCAAAATCCCACTCAAACACTTTTGCCAGACAAGTCATGTTTTCTGAGACTTGGCCATGGAGACGTCAGGTTGCCTGGCACGCAAGCTTATTATTTTGTTCAAGCTTATCTTTTTATTAACCCTCGATGAAGGTTAGACATCCAGGTCACAATATTCAAAGACAAATCAAACTCAACTACTGGATAAATTATCACGGAGATTACTTCAAGACATTTCCAGGAGGCCTGATCTATACTATAGGCGCAGCTACAACTCCACTAACTGGAAGGGAGGATTTCCCATAGAACTCTCCAGTACATGCAGTTCCTATGGTGTTGTATTTAGTATTACCATAATCTACCTTATCCTCATTTACATAACAATAATAGTGATACTTATGTGTCTTTCACTCTTTGTTC